TCCAGTATCAGGACATTCATGAATCGGCTGGACAATGTGTACCTATCTTGGTCCTGTATCCAGCCTTCCAATCAGGGTAGCGTCGAATCTCTACGCTGGGATGCCATATGGCTGTTAGGCTGTTGTGACATAATCATTTCTGCGGCACCTGTTTCAGGTGACAAAGGGATACCGCATCGTACGTCATACCTAAAAATAGATACTGATCAATTTCGTCAAAAAACTAATAACCTATTAATTCGACACCAATGAAAAATTAACGAAGTTTAAACAGATAAATGTGCTGCGATGCCAACTGTTCCAGTATAATAGAGGGTTACCCTTACGTGTGTATACAATCATATTGACATCCTAAATCTCTTCGATGGATTCAATTAAATTCAGTTCAATTTATTGACTTACGGCCCATGAGTACATATTACATATTACATACACTACATTATAAGGATGTGAAAGTTAAAGATAAATATATTTGCCAAGACGGCTTAATTCCTTGTTGTTATTGACACACAATAACTGTATTAATTTAAATATTGATTGACTTCTTAAGTCAAAGATGATATTTTAGTGCATACAGTCAATAGCCGCAATGCCATACACTGTGTGTTCCCCTTGTGCTTAATTGAATTAAATGTAATGTCGTTTATTGTAGCTAGATACAAGAATATATAATTAGTGTCGAATATGTTAAAACAGTAAACATTAGCCTTGTAGATCTATTCTTATGACAAAGTTAAAGTTAGCTGCCTTGTGTAAATGTTTAATGAAGTAATTATCTTTTGTTGGTGAAATTATAATTAGATAACTACATCATTTGTATACTAACCAAAATAATAATTGCATTCACATACCTATTCGTGGGAGGGTTCCTATTCGTGGGAGGGTTGGAGGAATATCCCCTATTGTTACGTGCGTGCAATGGATTGAAACGAAACCGATTGATACATGTACGGTGGATTTTTTAGGTGGCGGGATGTATTGTAAATTTGGCAAAAATAGCGTGACTTAGTTCTGTCGCGGTATGGGCACGTCACCTATACATTGTGTTACACTTTAACTTACACAGACAAAGTAACACACAGCTATTACTGGTCGTCTAAAATTCGCTATCATTCCAAGTTGTCAGAGAATATCATAGAAAAAGCAAAATAGTTTGTTACGATACGCAGGCCTCCATACGAACAACCATTACCGCAAATAGCTGTTGAGAGGACGTTAAACAATACTAAACCAAATCAAACCAAGCCGCAAATATTTCGGACATACTAGATGCCCTGAAAACATACCTTTATTACAGGAAACCAACATCCTGACCGAATGTTATATACAGTATCCTCGCGGTATTATTTAGATACATATTAATTAACACATATTTCACCTTTTTTCAGGTTTCACAATAAAACTGTTTCTTTTAAAGAAAAGCGATTCTGACAATAAAACGATGCACGGAAGCGTCAGGTACAAGCATGTGGTTGGTGGCGCAGGGGATAATGCACCAGTCTCTCACCAACTCGATAGGTGTTCGATTCCACGGATCCAGGGCGTGAACGGGTCATCTGGTCGTTCTCCGGGTACTCCGGTTAACATCCCCGTGTTTCATAATTGTTGTAAATAAAGTCGTTCAGGGACAAATGGATATCTTTCGGATCGACATGGCCTATGAAAAACAGAGCTTTAGAAAAAAAACCCAAAAAAACACGTCAGCACAAGAGTCAAAGTAATAAACGACCATATATAACTATAGTGGCCGATGACAATCTATACCGATTCATTGTAGGGCCATTATAATTACCGGTTATTAAAAGCATGCAGGTGTTTATGGCAAAATTATCATTTGGCAAAGAAAACAATTCCTGCAATCTTCCTAGGTATCTTTGAGTTTTACTTATAACGAGTAGTTAGTGTCGCCTTGTAATTGATTACTAGCACTATCCAATGCCGTGATTACACTACCCTTCGTCGTAATTACACTATTATAGGTCGTGATTACACTACCATATGTTGTAATTACACTATTTGGGTCGTGATTACACTAGTTTAGTTCGTGATTACATGACATCCTAGGTCGAAATTACACTATTATAGGTCGTGATTACACTACCCTATGTCGTAATTACAATATTATAGGTCGTGATTACACTACCATATGTCGTAAATACACTATTATAGGTCGTGATTACACTACCCTAAGTTGCAACTACACTACTGCATCCTAGGTTGTAATAAAACATTCTATGTCGTAATTACACTGTCCAATGCCGTGATTACACTACCCTAGGTCGTAATTACACTGTCCAATGCCGTGATTACACTACCCTAGGTCGTAGTTACACTGTCCAATGCCGTGATTACACAATAACCTAGGTCGAAGTTACACTATATCTGATGTTGTAATAACACTATCCACTGTAAGAATAATACAGGATTGGTCTTGGTTAATTACGATTTTTTTTATATGTATATTCAAACAAGAATGTTTAAAAAAAATAACATCAGCACACAAATTAAATATTGAATGTGGCGGGTATAACAATATCGAAAGAGGAAACAGATTGTATTCATTATGTAATATGAATGAGGTAGAAGATGAATTTCAGTTCATTTTGAAATGTCCTTGTTATGCTGACATAAGAGCTAAATTCATCAAAAAATATTATGTAAACCGTACTAGCATGTTTAAAATTATCCAACTGCTAAACAGTAATAGTTTATCAGAAATAAGAAACTTTGGAAAATATCTAGTGCATGCGAACAAGAAAAGGTCTCAACCTCTTTAATTAGTGGTTACTGTTCACTCTCCACTATATTATGTACAAATATAATACCTAGACATATTATGTTTGCATGGATGTATATTGTTTTGTACTGTATATATGTTGTTATTGGTAAGTGGAACGACTTAAAGTAATAATAAACTTGTAAACTTGTAAACTGTCGTGATTACATTACCTAGGTCGTAATAACAGTATCCTAGGTCGTGATAACACTAAATTTTAGATTGAAATGACAATACCTTCGGTAGTAATTACACTAACAAAGTCTGTGATTACACTACATACTATGTCGTAATTACACTATCCAATGTGGTGATAACACTAATCCGAGGTATCAATTACACGACATGCTGGGTCGTAATTACACGACATTATCGGTTTTGATTACACTACATACTATGTCGTAATTACACTATCCAATGTGGTGATAACCCTAAGCCGAGGTATCAATTACACTACATCCTAGGGCGTAATGACACTATCCAATGTGGAGATAACACTAATCCGAGGAATCAATTACACGACATGCTGGGTCGTAATTACACGACATTATCGGTTTTGATTACACTACATATTAGGCAGCGGTAAGTATCATTGTCTTACGTGATGACTTTATCCTAGTTTGTAATTACACTATCAAAGTCTGTGATTACACGACAAACTATGGCGTAATTACACTATCGAATGTGGTGATAACACTAATCCGAGGTATCAATTACACGACATCCTAGGTCGTAATTACACGACATTATCGGTTTTGATTACACTACATATTCGGCAGCGGTAAGTATCATTGTCTTACGTGATGACTTTATCCTAGTTTGTAATTACACTATCAAAGTTATGGTCATTACTCTATACTAGCTCGTAATTACACTATCTCAGGTCGAAGTTACACTAACCTCGGCCGTAATCACCATACCTTGGGCCGTGAATACAGTCTATTCTCCTGTACTGCGGACCGCTGCTTGAATAGTGTAAGTTGTGTAGTACGATTCAATATTGAATATCTTGTGTAATTAACGTTTATTTTCTTGAATACTCTTTGTTGGATGTGAAATACTTCTCACCTATCATTAAAAGCAAGGGAAAACTATTTCGTTTATCGTTTAAATATGACGTCTTGATCGCGTCATTGCACAGATATTATAATTATAAGCGTGCGTCATAAAATTAGGAATTACATTTTAAGCAGAATAGGGAAGTATGTTATTTTTAATATGAATGCAATGAAGGCATGTAATTTTTAATATGAATGCAATGTAGGCATGTGATTTTTAATATGAATGCAATGTAGGCATAAGTAGTGTATGTGGGTAGGGAGGTAGGTAAGAATGGTCAAAGCTGATTTAGCAGAAATACAATGGCCATGGCATTTGTCAGACTTAAGGAAATAATGCGGTAACACTAATACTAAGTAATTACAACCTTTACGAACGGGCTGGAAAGCTTCTCAACTTGAACACAAATAATTAGCGTGTAATGTTCATTCCCGGCGAGTTGCATTATTAAACAGTTTGTAGCCCTCACCTCGGGACTACTGTTCTCTGGCGTGCCTTGTAATCACTTCACCTAATAATCTCAACTTTTTTTACAATGAGCTTCCAGATTAACCTAATCAGCAAAATAACTTAAGCCGCCATTTCAAATCGAACAAATGGCACCTGAATCAAAGCGGAGTCAGTATTATGGCGTCCGCTAGCACCCGGTAACCTCTTGTAGCATGCAGAAAAATAAATTGACGGAGAGAGATACAACATTCTCTCTATTTTTTCCTTAATATATTTAAGAAAAAACCGGATATAGGCCTACCACATAGTTCCACTGAAGGTGGGAAAAAATACTCACGTTTTACCTCCAAATTTGAATTTACAATATCCTAAACTTTGATTTTTTGGCTTCATTCACAAAGTGTCATCAGTATATCACTGTATATATATGGTAGCACTTTGGCGTCGCGTGTGTCCCACCAGACTGGAATGGGTACATGTCCTTCGGAATGATAGTTAGGCTTACCCTCGCTTGGTAGGGTGAAATTTAAAAAAAATGCCATGCTATGTCAGTCGAGTCAGACTCCGTCATTTGGAACACACCAATTCAATGTGTCTTCCAGCATTCATTCTTCTTTCGTCAGAGGTCATTTGTGTCCAGTTTGTCGTCAGGGGTCACTTGTGTCCAGTTTCAGTCGAGATATTACCGGTACGTAAAAAACACAGACAAATGAAATTCTTTTTGAAATTTTGAACATTTTATTTTATTGCTTTCCATAAAACAAAATTGCTCATTGTTTTTGGTACAAGGGGACGGCAAATCTGTCCCCCGTCCCAAACATTTGGTCCCTCCTTTCACACAGGAAAGGTACAAAACCACCCTCTGACAAATCACACCCGAGATAGCTGGACTACCTAACATCGAAACCGATCTCCGGATTGTAGCCGAAGAATCACATTTCTCTCGTACACAAAGGAGCACATGGTCAACAAACCAATAGAATGGAACAATTTAACGGACTGTTAAGCAAAAGTAGTAGGTTTAATTTTTTAACATATATTTCATTTTCCCCAACATAATTCGATTATTTTTTCAAATAAAATAACAGTAAAATAACGTAGATTATCTACGTTTTGTTGCTTCAAAAAAACTAAAAATATAAATTCAAAATGTGCTTTTGAACTGTTATCAACACAAATATGAGAAAAATATTAATTTAATCCACTTGAAATTCTAAAAGATGTTTCCACGTCTCCTTTCGCTTCTCATATATACCAATCATGCGCCTTCTAACTCGGAAAAAGTCTTCCTCACATTCAAATTACTCCATTAAATACTCCGTACTCTCGGGCTTGTGACTCTCGCAAAACGAAATCGTACAAGACCTGTACCAGTCAGCTCGAAGGTCTGCTAGGTACGCAAAGTTTATTATAGGATTCTATCACAGACGTCGTAGCTTTGCAGTTTAACCTTGAAAGACAATATTTCTATCATATCTATTGCCACTGCCTATCGGTCTCCATATGTTATGTAAAATAAAAAAAAAATACTGCCACAAAAAATAAAGCGGGATAAAAAAAAAAAAGTGTATAGGAGCGCCCCCTGTCCAACAATACAATTCCTTGTGTTCTTCTAAAGAACACCACAAGGACTTGCCTAAGGGGATCCGACCTACCCCAAACTGCCCTATATGTAAACTGGCTAGGCGCTCCATTATACTCGATAAGTACACACGACTGGGCAATCAATTCAATTAAAAAAATAAATACAAATTCTCTTCTCCACCTAATCGCAAGTAAATAGATTGGATTTTCAGCATACATACATATTTACTAATAAATGGATAGGCATTTCATAACACAAAAATACATTACACAGCTAGGTGTAGTCGCTTTACGTTTCGTCTTTGTTCCTAAGGCGACTGCGGTAGTCAGGTTACTTTCAGTTACAGGGGGATTGATTCGGTCGATACTCTTTGAATAACCGAGGTAGAAATATGCCGATCATAGGCACCCAAGTTTCCAAACTTTCTATCAACAATCAGAGGTAAGATAGTTTGGGATAGTTTTTTTTTTTATCACAATTAGAAATATTTCAATTTTTATAAGCAAATAAAATGGCACAAATACCACGCTCTCTTGCACGAAAGGAACACGAGGACTTCCAATACTCCCGTCTTCAATAAATAAAATAATTCAAAATATCAAAATGCATCGTTTTCCAACTTAGTTGAAAAATATGTTAACTTAAATATAAAATAAATATATATTTGAACACATTTCACGAGAGACCTGAACCGGTCTCGTCGTACTCTTTTTAGATGAGTTGATGAAAAAAACTTTTCTTGAAATTTCGATCGGGATGAAGTTGGTATCTGAACGTTAGCTATTATATGCCTCTATTCTAGCACCCTGTCCCATGTTGCACTCGAAAACACCACGTTTACATATATATCCATAGCACTAGTTGGTTCTCCGGTCAATCCACGATTTACAATTTTTTCTTTTCTTTTTCAATTGGGAAAATTGCATACAATTGTCAAAACATAATTAGTGGCAATGTAGGAATTTTCCAAATTGTTTTTAAAAATAAATTTGAAACCTTTACCGCAAAGAAAAAGGATCAAATTGAAATGGTGAATTCGTGACGGAGGTAACATAGTCAACAATTTGGGGGAAGGGGAGAATCAGCGAAAATAATTAATGTATTTTTTGTGTCAATGGCATTTTTTTCAACATGAAAACTTAATGGCAACATTATGTACAATAACACATCAAAGGCTTTAACGCCTCCGCCTGATAACAAAACCTCTGAAAACATTTTCGGTGGGGTTTTTGGTCCCTTCGAAGTTGAGACAAGTGAATGAAATGATTACAAGCTGAGCGTTAAAAGTGACATCGGAAAGGCTACATTATATTTTTATCACATTTTTTTTGAACACATAATACTCTGACGTCACATTAACGCACAAGCTTGATGACGTTTATGAGAAAAAGTTTGAACACGTAAACCACGTGACGTCAGTTAATTAATAACATCATCGGGTTTCTCAATTGTGGCATCACATCTTATCGGGAGCAGAAGAAACACGTGCTCCTGGTCGCAAGTAGAAACACTTCAAAAGTTCGTATACATAATATATTCGTTGGTGTCGACTCAAAATGCAAAAGTTTCTTGGCAGCGATTGGAACAAAAGTTTTGTCTCTTTTTAGAATTTAAAACACAATATCTTGGACATCGGTAGGGGTTGTAGGTTGACCCTCCAAGTGATGATGGTGGTGATCACGATCGACTTTGACCATTGGCGCGTCGGACGTTTGCGCCATACTGGATAAATTTGTGGCTAGCGTTTGTTCAATTTGTTCTTGACATGACCTCAAGCAGTCCTGAAAAACACACAAAAAGAAGACATTTAGTGTCGGGAAAAGTGTTATACAATTCTGGTGTCTTAACTGTATTAAATAGAAGTAGTTCGGGCTCAGACTTCTGGCGAAAATATCTCTAACGAGCGTGTAACTCTAGTTGCAAATTGACAGTTTGGCGGCATTCAACAACTTGCCTACTGTGAACAGAATTAGAACTTCCATGAAACTTAGACGTGAATAAAAGAGCCACGTGTTTCTATTTAGTTGCCTTTACATGATTTCTTTACGATAAACAAAAGCCTGGTAAATAGAGCAACACGGTAAGAAACACAGTCGCGACGTATGCTGTTAGTATTGACTATCCCTGGGCGGAGTACTGGTAGACTGGGTATCAATGACATGCCACGACTGCTGGCTGGTCAGTCTCAGGCTAGGGGGTCAAGTCTGGACATTACACACAGGTGTTATAAACCTTGACCACCAAAGCAGACGCACCATAAATTGATTTACTATTCCTATCGATTGGAGCCCAAGGTCATTTACCAGTGACTAGAATAAGGGAGTGGCTAGCTTCAGGCTAACTGAACAAAAATTGACAATGGATTTTTTTAAGAAAAACTATTTCCATGTTGTTGTTGTCTAAATGATAATATAACATTTTTTTTACTGATAATTAAGGTGCTGTTTCCATAAAAAATGTGTAAGAAATTGGTACTTACCACATCTATACTTGTGATTTCGTGTAGCCTGTGAAGCAGCTGTGCATTGAGGTCGTTAGTTTTTAGCAGACCATGTGCGGCGGCCCCCACGCTCCCCGCGGCAATCATGGAGGGAGGATACATCATAAATTTGCAATCTGCAATACAAATATATTTCGTTAGAATTGACAGAGCATCTCATTAAGTGAAATGTTAAAAGTATTAAATCGTGGTTGATATCAAACGCAACTTGCTTTAATTTTGGTCATAAATACTAAGGTGAAACATGTTCATTCGATACAAAATCTAAAACAGTTATAGAATATTGACCGATACGAATCATTTAGATCTCTAGGGGCCACTCGGCTGTCACCTGCTGCCGTGTTGCGATACCCGACTAGTTGTATATTGGGTTTGTCACCTGTGTCAGGTGGGCTATTTCAGTAGGTCACTATACACGGGACAGAACACTTGTCATGTAATTAATCAAGATATTTCAAATTACAACTCAATATATATACACTAAGTGTAATCTTGATCGATTTATGACAATGCTGAATGAAACGTCGATGTGGTTAAGTGAAAGGGAAGCAACTCCGGATGACTTGTCTAGTTATACGTGAGAATATTAATAAAGCTAAAAATAAATGTGCAATACACACAAACATTGTCCTTATTTCATGTCAGTCGTATAGAAAGGTTTCCGTCCCAGGATAACTTGCAAGCTTGACAATAATTCGATACAGATTGGATTATATATGGCTTGACCAATCCTAAAGGTACACGTCCTTAGCTCTAAACCACAAATCCCTTTCAAGGGCTAATCCCAAATTTCTCATATCGCTCACACCTGCCAAATGCTGGTCAATTAAAAATACCACCATTTCCGTTCTCTAGAGGTCATGTTTCATATACCAGGGCGAATGGAGATAGATTATGATGACAAACTGTCATACCAACGCTATCAGCAGAGTCTGCCAGAATGAACAGTAGAAGCCTAAGTTGAACGCGTGCAATATACACAGCAACAGTGAAGGGGTATCCTATTTCACCGCTGGTTTTATGAATGGCGATTATAGTAAAATGTAACAACACCGACACCACAAACATGAATATGACACAACAAAATATTAGACCTCTATCTCCGTTACAAATTTTGACATTTGCTCAAATCATTTGGTGCACAACAGATCAATTAATATTTAGGTCAACTACAAAGTTATACATAATAATACGAGTTAGTGACGTCAGAAGTACTCACCAGTTGAACACAGTGCCACGAACGTCTGAGCGTGTTTCTTGATTAATTCACATTTTTCCTTGTCCATACAAAGTCTACTTAGAACATGTTCGAGAAAGTCATGAGGTGTCACAGCCGATAGGTCCCATTTTAGTTTATTTAGAACTATTAATTCCATCTCCTGAAATAAGAAAATTACAATTGTGTCATTACCCGGACAAGATATCAAAGAGGGAAAAATAAAGGAATTTCTAAACGGGCTAACATATAATAGGTAAATACTAGCGTATTTATTTAGCTTCAATCTATCAAGTATAAACCATGGAATGTAGTTCCGCCAGCAATGATTACCTCAGGCATGACTGACATACCTCGGCTTGCCTATATTTACCTGTATCAGGTAGTACGTTATTGTCCATCAACCCAACACTTGGCATTTAACCAAAAAGTAACGTTAGGAAAACTTCATCAAATTCTAGATTCCCATTTCAACCAAAGAGAAAACTGATGATTTTTTTAATGAATTAAAAAAAATCTTTTTAATATCTAAAACAGGGGTCCAGTAATAAATATGATTTAATTCACAAGTGTAATTCCGGTATTTTAATCACAAAGCAATATGTACCATCAATTCCTCGATTCCAACAGAGTTGTCTGTGTAGACAATAAGTTTTTCTGCAGTAAGTGGATTCGTTTCCTTTAATTTTGATGCCAGAAACATGCACACACATCCAAGAAGTTGTAGCCTATTCCTGGGAATGTCCATCACAGATAAGAATCTGTCCAAATAATTCATTGCTAGTGGAAAAACTTCCTCTTCGCATTTCTGTTCTTCACAAACCTGAAGGAAAATAAAAATAAAAGATATAATAATGCACAATATTATTTAATCAGCTTTATTGCATTTTAGAAACGTGGAAAACATTAACGAAACCAAGTATTTTTGACCTAAAAATCAATATAAAAATTCGACCGAAATTTTCTAAGTTCGCTTTGTCAATTTGGGCGATGGTTGTGCCTGGATATGAGAGGAATGTCAGTACATTCGAGCTAAAATCAAGAAAAATTCACATTGGCTATTACAAAGCACATGCCCTCGCCGGTAACCAGTGCGCATGTATGTATCTAGCGGCCCCCACTAAATTCTGTCCTAGTCTCTTTGTTAGGCAGTCATAGAAAAAAATCATAAAATTCACAATTTTCAAGATATTGCAAAAATTGTTGATGCAATGCAAACTATAAATCCTATTCTAGGTGTCCATGGAAAAATAACTAAGGTAAAAGCTTTAATAAACCCACAGTAACCACTAATATTTAGCCACCTCTGCAAAAATAGCCAAAAACGTGGGTGTTTTAGACGTAAAAATGCTTCCTAAATATAAATTCGAAAAAATGTCTAGAGATAAATTTCACATACAATCATGATATCATCGAAAACTGCAGATCTTATGCTAGCTAACCATGGAAAAAAAATAACTTATTACTTAGAAATAAAAAAGTTATGACGAGTTGAAATTACTAACTAAATGTTAAGTGTGAATGCATTCCATGCCCCGCCATCTTGTATGGAGGTGGTGAGTGGATGTACGCCTCAGATTTCATTAAATCATATTAAATAAACCATATCGAATAAAAAGTAAACATTTAGATCATGATCAACAATTGATCGTAAACTTAATGATTATTCAGTTGTCACCCAGATCAATCAATGAAAATAATGAAATATTTTCTTTTCTTCCCTTCCGATTCTATCATACACAGCGAGTGGCCAGGCCCCACACACTACAGGAAGGCAAAGTAAAGCATACAGTATAAAATACCTCTAACATCCATTCGGCGACCATCTTCCTCATGTATGGTTTAATGTCTGTTTGTACACATTTGAAGTAAGTTGGCGAAGGCTGATATCGATCTTCTGTTATAAGTAAGTTGTTGAGAACACGATCATCTTCCAGTAGCACAGGGTCCTTGTAAGCTCTCCGGAGCTGTTCTGTCTCACAACACATCAACATGTTCATCTTCCTCAAAGATCGGATGATCACTGTTATAAATTAAGATGAAAACAACTCGATATTAATTCAGAGATATTTCCTGTAGAGAATAAATAAGACACAGTCCACATGTAACGTTTCACAAGGTACGCTCTCCGATTCTTATATCACAGCCAGCCCTCTCGGTGTATTTGTCAGTAGAAACGTGGTTAGCAATCTTTTGTCTGAGGTAGAAAGTCGTAATGATATTGTCTGGTTTGGCCGGTCATTCAATGGTAGTTAGTAAATTTTAGAAAAGTGAGATACTCGCAGCAGTGTTGCCCACATGAGAGCTCACCGGCCAACAATCTGTCAGTGTGCCTCCGTCTTTATATACCACCCTAACTCTATGTAAAGCAATACATGCGATCACCGACCAGGGCCCCTTTGTCAACCATTGCGCATGCGTGATAGGATAGGTTGGGAGAATGTTAACGGTCGATTTGGATTTTGTCATAAATACGGATAATCATTATCAGTATAAGTACAGTTTTCAGTGCAAAATGACTATAGAATACATATATAACTGTTCACGAAGTATCGACATTTTCAATGAATTAAATCAAAGCAATATTTCACGTTTTTCATCTGAACACAAAATATGAATATTCATGAGATAATTCTTTTCCCGTAAACAAAGCTACTAACACTCGCCGACTGGGGTCTATCGGCGGCTATCCGGCGATTATTGTCAACGTATTGTTCTTCAAGAAATATATTTCAAGATGAACTTTATTCTAGACGACATAGCTTAACGTTGATTTGGTGTGTGTAGAAATATCAATAGATTTGAGTAATCTAGGATTGATTTTGTGAATATTCCAGGTTATCTGTCGGTTTACCTGCTGTTGGAGAGGAAAAGGACCACGTTGTTACTAGTCCTTTGACTCACTAGGATTAACAACTATATTTTACGTAATATAAGATATTTATTTGTTTGAAATATACACACATATATGAATGATAATTATATGTTTATATTTATTGAAAATTATGTGGACATTATAATACAATAGCGTTGCCGGCCTGCGTTTCTATTTATAGGTGAAGTAGGCCACCCGAACTGAACGACTACGTGAACCAATGACTGCACACAGACACCGGGCGATCGTATCTATGAATGAGAAATGGAGGCATTCCAGAGCTAGTGAGAACATTTGTGAATGAAATTTACTCTCTTATCGAAGCCCCGCCTACACCCGCAAGCGCGACGATCTGATTGGTATGACGTGGCGCTGTGACAGCTGAAGCCTCGCCTTTAATATATTTGATGTACTAACCAAGATTTTCCCAAAAAAACGTTCCATTTATTTATTTATCATAGATGACTGAATTTTATAAAAAACAAAAAATGAAATCAATTATAAGTTATGATAGAAATATTTATTTAAAGAATTTCTACAAAGCATTTTTATTTAATATATAAAAAAGAATTTTGAGTCAAATTTTCATTTAAACTTTTGCCCAGAAATGTCAATATATATATTTCTACAGTATGGCCTCTTTCTTTCCGTTCGGAGAAACTTTAATTATATCCACTCAAATATTGTAAAAGTTTCTTCATTTTATCTCGATTACAAACTAATACATAATTATTAATTAACTCATTGTTGTCAGAGAAATTTGCCCCACAAGCTCGACCGAAGAATCCCTTTAGGCAAAACTGACCACTGACGAAACATTGTCCGATTTCTGCGATGGACAAGGAAACCTTCTGTATACGACCGCCACTGGCACTGAGTTTGTCAAATGCGCAGAAGCTACCTAGATATGTCAATCAGAGGAAAGCGGTTATTGCAATTATGCAGACTGGTTACGAAGTTGTTTTCAATAGGATAAATGACACAAGCAGTAATATAAACACAGAATTATTATCAATAATATCATATTAATTCAATCCTGATATGACACGTGTAGTGTTACTACAGAACGTCCATGGATAGAGATAGTTAAAGGGGTCAGTGATGCATGCCCCCCACCCTCAGCCCCTCCCCCCTCCGCCCTTCATGGATATACATTGTATACGAGGTGAACAAATTATGATCATTGTCTTTACGCATAGTATCTTAAAGTTAGGGGCGGGTCCAGTGTTTTGGAAAGAAGTAAGGGGAGGGTTAATTTCTGTTCTTCTCTACGGGGCCCGGGGCATTATCTATTGTGCAACTTACCTGGTATTTATCTATAAATGAGCAATTATTGAATTGAATTGAATATAATAAGCTGCATAAATCAATGGAGGTTTAGGTCATTTCAATATTGTATTTTTAAATATCGCATAAATCCATCTCATGGAAACACAGTAAAATTAAACAAATATTACAGTCTAATTAAACAATGCATTTGACTAAGTATATACAGTGCATTGGTAAGTAACGGACGTCGCCATAGGAAATAGAAGTTCTGTGTGATATTTTTGTGTTTTGAGAGTACATATGTATCTTAAAATATTGTTACGTTGTTTTCTGTGACGTTTGGTATTTTATCAAAAGCATTTGAAGGAATTTAAAGTCTCAAATAATATTTTTGGAATAGTCCTTTTTCTCTCAAGCAAAAAGTGAGGGTGGTACTATCTTTATAGATGCATAGAGCGAGTCGTTGTGTAGCTTAACAGAGCGAGGCAAATTATTTTCTAAGGTTTGCAAATTTAAAGGTTTTCAGTTGCAATATTGAAAAATAATGGTGACACACAGGCTCAGAATGTTGTCACAGTTAAGACATGTACTGTGAATAGGGGGAGGGGGTTCGTCAGTAAAGGAATTACGGTGAATAGGAAGCCTCTTTGTAGTAAAAACAGTATATATTCAATATTTAAGCACAGGGAGTTGGAAACAATTTAGGGTACAGTGAATGGGACGCCTTGATGTAGGGTACAGTGAATAGGAAGCCTCTATGTAGGTACAGTGAATGGGAAGCCTCTATGTAGGGTACAGTGAATGGGAAACCTCGATTTTGGGTACAGTGATTGGGAAGCCTCTTTGTAGGGTACAGTGAATGGGAAGCCTTTGTGTAGGGTACAGTGAATGGGGAGCCTTTATGTAGGGTACAGTGAATGGGAAGCCTTTGTGTAGGGGACAGTGAATGGGAAGCCTCACTGTAGGGTACAGTGAAAGTTGAGATGACAACTCCGACAATCTCCTTAATGCACGAGGGAATAGCTATATTTTTACGGAAGATAATTAAACTGAAGCAATAAGGTTCGCCAATGATTGGTTTTTAAAAGCTACTTTCATCGCTTTAAAAAATAAATAAATAACAATACTATATGTCACGACGCTTAATTTACAATTCTCATCTCTCTTTCTTTGCTAGTGACAAGTCTCTTTTTATCATACAATATATGAAGTACATTGTACTTCGTATTGAACGATGCTAGGATTTTTATCTGCTGTCATTTTGTTAAATGATTTTCTGACCAACCAAAATATGATCAATAACTACACAACTTCATTATGTCAATTTTGAATCATACGGCCCAACACAATTTCATTGACATGTACAGACCTGTTAGTGAGGGAAGGGACGTAACTCCGATTGAATATTTCGGTAACCACAACAGACCCGTTCCTACGGTAACAAGGGAAGCAATTCTTTCTAACTTATCAACGTTTACATCTCCCAACAGGAAATATTTTATACCGCGAAAAAATATTATCTAGCCTAACAGCATTTGTCAATTAATTTTCTGTTCCTGTGATGCCATTGTTTGATTACTAGTACTCACTTAGTGCTTTAAGTTCAATGCTTATTAGAATTCAAAATGTAAAAGAAAATATGATAAAACACTGTTTAATTTGAATACAGAGATAATTAAATTCCGTATTTGCAATCCATATGATTAAAACGATTGTTGTATATAGATTTCCATGAAGATAGCGACGTATCTATCACGTAACACAGCCTAACTACTTCCGGAGACACACACATGGCATCCGGACCAAATGGAATTTTAAAAACTTTAGCGATATTACGGAAGATAATTAAACTGAAGCAATCCCCCTCTTTTACATTTTTTTCTCATAAAATGATAGAATAACGTTCCCTTGGAGATTGTTTGCCATCACGATTTTGTCATTCCGGAAGTTGTAATGCACCCGAACGCGTTCATTATTTTTATACGCCATATTGCATACATGTCGTTTTGAAATACAACATATGATAACAATCTTTAGCAAACGAAATGTCGACCGATCATAAATGTGCATTGGAAAGCAGGATCAGCTATTTATTTTAAAATGTTTATGGAACAGATCTTGGGGACCGTAACGATCTGTTTTAAAGATCAGACATAATTGTCATCAGGTATAAACATTCACCACTTCCATCTGGATCATCGTAAGTCCCTCTTTTTCTTCCTCTCAACCCTAAACAAACCCCTGAACTCCCTTTTTAATGCTTCGCAACACAGACGCCGGTCATCCTCTATAAAAAGCTAACCCTCTCCCGTCCTCCACTCTGAAAACTAACTAACCGTTACCTCACACAAACTTACTTCCTCAACTTCTCCGCTTACAATAACACCTTCTACATCTTCAACCCAAGCAAACTAACCCCTTCATCTTCTCTTCAACCCTCAAAACTAAATCCTTCTATCACCAATCATAAACATGCTACTCTCCCCTAACTCATCACCCCTACTCTCTCCACCTGAAATACACTATCCACTTCGCCTCCTTTACTTTAAACAAACTAGATCCTCGCTTCCTCAACTTTAAAGGTTGCTTTTTCTCTCATCCTCTATGCAAACCTCTTCCCCTCCTCCACTCAAAGCAAATTAACTCCGTTTACTCCTCTACCTTAAATGGACTCCCTCCATTCCTGAACCGTTACCAAACCCAAGTCCTTTACTATCCTTCCTAAAAAAATTAACCTCCTTCCGTCTCCACATAAACGAACTTCCTCCCTCCCAAACCACATCTTAAATAAACTAGCCCGTCCCTTCCTTCAGCTCAAACAAACTAGCCTCCTCCTTCATCAACCGTGAACTAAGTAACCTCCTCTAATGCAACTTAAACAAACATCCACTCACCGCCTCCTTAGCTCTTAGCAAACTGAATTTTTCGGCACTTCCATCTTAGATAGATTCACCATCTCCCTTCCTCCAACCTAAAAAGGCTAACTCCCTCCATTCCTTAACAAAAAAGGGCTTACTCCATCCCTTCCTCAATCTTAAAACAAAGAAATCCTCTCTTGTCTGCAATGAATAAACTTCTTCTCCATTTTGTGTGTGAAACGTCGCAAATAAACACTTGTTGGTTTTGCAATATGAGCCTTTCTATATTACAAATAACTCACCCCACAGCTCCACTTTAGATAAATGGAACATTTCAATCTTTAAGCTTAAAGAAACTAGTCCTTCCTCTTCCACTAACCCCCTCTCCTGC